AAAAGTTTATCATAGATTAATCATAAAATTTTTTAATATAAATTTTTTTAAAAAATTACAAATTTTAGCTTCTAAGTGATCTTAACCTTTTTAATATATAATTAAAAGATAAAACTTATTATAATTTATTATATATTTATAAAATTAATTTAAAAAAAAATTAATTATTTATAAAAGTAAATCAGAAGAGAATTTATAGTAAATAAGCAAGTAAATTTGCCTGCAAAATCCTATGATTTAAGGGATAATAAAAAAATTTTTTCTGGGGAATATGAATACTTTCTCATAAATGAAATTTTAATAAATTTAATTTTAATATATAACGATCATTTCTAAATTCTAATTTTAGATTTATGATTGATGTTACATAAAATTTAAAGTATTTTTGTCAGCCTAATTGCTTACTTTATTAAAAAGCTAATAGTCTCACCATATAAAGTTCATTTAATATACTATAATTACTATTATATGAATCAAAAATCTCATTTTTTTGTTAAAAGGTTCTAGTAACCTATTTAGCTTCCATATTTATACTAGTATCTCTATTGATAAAGAGGTTGAAAGCATCAAGAGTGATAAAGATGTTGAAAACGATGAGGAAATTGAAGTCCATGAAGCGGCAGGAATAGGCAGTGTAAAGAATAAAGGTCTCTATATGCAGACAATTATAAAATATGCGTCTGATTATGTTATTGAACTAGTGACCAAGAAACTTCAAAAGGTATTAATAAATAAATTATGTAATGAACTAAATGCAAGCTTATCAGATAGCATAAGTAATCCATTATTGGGCAGTACTTTTAAGCAGATTTCTCATCATATCCTATGAAATAGAAGAAATTTCAGGATTCATCTTTTTAACCAATCCACTACATCATCCTTTTGCATTCATTTGCCTAAGCAGAATGAGAAACTTATGTTTTCTACAATATATACTATCGAAAACAGTAAGTATTATCAACCAATAAATCAATATTTTGAGTCTATAGATGCTATTATTACATCTGATAAACTTTTTCAGATAACTGCTGCTATGAAACACCCTATTAAGTTGAATGAATTGAAAAATTGGGTGGGAAGGGCAAAATTTCTCTTTATTTTGTCCTATCCAAGAATTTGTACGTTAATTACCAAACACAACCCTTTCATTCCTCTCAATAAACTATTTCCAAGGCTAAACCACATTAGATAAAAGATCGAGTCAGGCAGTATGCTTTGGAAATTGATTTGAGCTCATACAATATGAAATAATTTGTTAAATATTAATATATAAATCAGCTTATGATATGTTAATTTTATTGACTTGTATTTTAATAAAGTTATGCTTATTCATTGTAAGAGAATACTTTTTATATTTTAGAATTCATTGATCTTTAAATGCAAAGTCACGTGATCGATAAATGAATGTATTACATAATAACAGGACATTTAACATTTCCTGAATCATATCAAATGAATTTTCACTTTTTTACTATGATCAATTAGTAAAAACTGAAAATTCAGATAATAAAATAAACAGTAATTCCATTTTTGGATGTGTTTTTAAATCAGTCAATCAATTCGTAATAATTATTACAATTAGGTAAAATACCTTATAAGATAAAAGAGATTATCTATAAAACAGGTTAACAATTTGTATACTTATGCAGTCTGAATTAAATATAAAAATGTATCATTTTCTCTATCTAATCCTTTTATACAAAATTAACAGTTTTCTAAACGTAAATAAGCCAAAGTTTCAATGAATAAAACATATTCTTAATAAATTTATTGCGCATTATCTTATCTAATCATGATCAGTTTTGCTTATATCAATTTTTCAGAAACATGCCATTTGGCTCTTTCTGCTTCTTTTTTTTGTGAGTCTAGTAATATTTATGCCATAAGAAAAAGTCCTCATCACATGTGATTCAAAAATTAATGCAGTTTTCACTGCAGAACCTATGCTGACGAAGCCTGCAGTAATGATTTTTTTCTCAATTATCAAACTAATCACATGAAAATATTATTCTGGAAGTTCCTCTGGTATGAAGTTATAAATATTTATCTGACTTTTATCAATATATCTTGATAGATAGCAATATGGAGTAATAGGTTATTATAGGGTTCAATCAATTCCTTCCTTGAAACACTGCCTCCAATTTTAATTAGCTAGCTGGACTTCTTTTTCATGTAATACATTATGAATATGTATAATAAAGAGCTTTATTTTTAATTTTAAATGATGTGTTCATATTTTATAAATGCATTTTTTGCTCGCTTTAATCTTTAGATAAACATTGTTACATAATACATAAGAAGTCTGCATCAATCAATTTTTTTGTATTCTCAAAACTAACTGTTTAATTACGTACAAATCGATAGTAAAGTTAGCAAGAGTAACTGCAGGAGTGACAACTGACATGTATTCAACATCAACTGGAATTGTTGGAGGATCCCAGAAAACTTGGTTGACTGGGATATTAATTTAGTATGTTGGGATGGATACCAAAATTCCACTAAAATATTTTGATGTTATTAAGAAGGTTTGACCAAAAAAAAATAGCAATTATAAATTAGAATTTTATTATTTGATATTCAGGTACCCCCTGTTGATATAATAAAGCTGTTATTGTCTAGTGTTTACGTCCTTGGTCATCATAACTTTCACTTTTATCATGAAATTTAATTCCAAGAACATATCGAACATGAACTATATTTAACCAATTTTGACATTTTTCGATCAATTGGCCAATATTCTGACGATTAGCTACTTCACAGATTATTTGAGCATGCAGATTACCCTAGATGAAAATATTAATATTAGAAAATTATAAATTAAATACAATAAATTAAAAAAATACGTTTTGATCTTTGGGGGCAGGGTGTAGAGCAATAGGTTGTCAAACGTGATTCAAGTGTGAAGCGACTGTGACATCTGAAGCAATGAGTCCTTTATTTACGTTAGGATTAAAACAGACTAAAGGAAAAGAAAAATGTGTATATCAAGTAATCAATTATATATAGGTCAAGAATCAAACAGAGTAGGAATTCTCTTACATCCATCACCAGTAACACGTATTGGTGAATTAATGAAGACTTCCCATTAGCAGCCTTGAAATAATCTTGTAACAATGAAACTACATAGAAATGTTCAGGGTTACTCATGTCTATTACATATATGTTACTATTATTTTTTTGTTGAAATTTGTATCTAGAAGACTCTTTACACATAAGAAAGTTATTATACTCTTCTAAAGTTATTTTCGAGCCAATCTTACAAGGAATACTGTCATTCATACAAGTTAATACTGAATAGGCATTGAAAAAAATGTATTGTATAAACCACTCACCTGCTTTCATTCAGTGTTTTGTCTTTTTTGAGAGTTTCCTTTACACCAGGAATGAAATGAATACGACTTTGACTAGACATAAAGAAATGGTAGAAAATATTTGTATAATGATAAATGTGATCTGATTTTGAATCAATTAGATAGGAAAAAAAAAGTATTCAGCAAAAGTTAATCTCTTCTAAATTATAATTATAAATGTGATCCGATTTTGAATTAATTAGAAAGGAAAAGTATTCAGATAAATATAATTCTTATAATTTAAAATTATAAATGTTAGTATTTTATATGATCCGATTTCGCATCAATCAAAGATGCTAACGTAATTCATTAAAAAATGTGGGAAAAATTCGAATTTAGCGTTTTAAAATTTTACAGACGCAAAAATATGAATCTTGCAGATCTATTTACCGATCTTATTATAAAACAATTGTTTATTTATACAGTGATTGACAAGTGAGTCAAGATTAATATACGTGATAGGTCAAGATTCATATATTTACTTTACAGACAGTCAAATAAAGAGTTATTAAATAAATTAAGATATCTTAATAATGAATTTTTGATGGATAAAACTTCGATTTTGATTATACTGTATATATATTATGTAAAATATAACTTGGTTAATGAAATTAAATTTAATAATTAGTAAACACGAACTAACATTACAAACAATAATTAAATAACTAGATTTTCTTTTAAGAAAACAATTAATCCCGATAGTAATTAATATTCCAAATAGTAAGATGCAGCAATTTGCTAAAATTGAGATTATTGTTTAATATGAAACAATACTATAAATATAACTTTAATTACTGTGCCAACAATTATTGTCTGAAGCGTAGCGTAGGACTGTTAAGTATATGCTATACTAGCAATTTTCTGTCTGTCACATCGCGTGTAATAGCCAATCAAAATTTAGACAATCAGGTATAACATAATATCTGTTACAACAATAATAATAACAATTAATTTAAGATCACGTGTGTTAATCTGATCACACGAGCTTCCTTTTATGGTTTTATGTTATACAAAATACTATTTTGGGTTTTATTTTACCACTTTGATTAATCTTCGCCATTTTTCGACAGCCAAAAATTTCCTTTTTGGTCATATTAAACACGTATATAGACATTTGTATAACTCACAGAGGTGGGAAAATAAATTGCCGAAAATTTCAAAATCATTAATAATTTCTAATATGCACCAGATACGTGGCTTAAAATGATCTAGTTAAATTGGATTTTCTAATGTGCACCGGGTACGTGACTCCTAATAACCCAGTTCGTTGGAGTTTCTAATGTACACCGGTGCATGGCTTTAAATGATCTGCATGACTGAAATTTCAAAATAATCACTGGGTACGTGGCTCCCGACCATCGAATTAGTCTGAATTTTCAAACTTGTTACTGGGTGACCGGGTCTTCAATTTTCGGTTGCGTAAAAAAATAAAAAAAAATTTTTCTTTTGAAAGTGACGCTTCCCGTTGACGAACCCCGGGGCATCACCAGGGTAACGATCGCTAGTGTAATAGTTTATAATGTGTATTATTACTAATAATAGATTATTGCTATTAATAAATTTAACTAACAAAAGACTGTAATAGAACTTGAGAAAAAAGAGTTTGCTGCTGGACTTCATTTCGTGGCAATTTCACAGGTTAATGCTCTCCAAAATATTCTTTTTAGGTCATTTTCATTGAAAGACTGCAGCGTATCAAGACTTGTAAGAGACTACAAGAGAGATTAGCTGAAGAGAGATGTTTAATTTCTATAATATTGCAAATTGGAACAAATAATGATTAGATAACAAAATGAAAATAAAATACTTTTTTAATTCTAATACAACTTTCGTTAAAATTCCCAAAATTATTTTTTTTCTATCAGTTTTATCTAAATGCTAATCTAATAACGGTATTTGTGGCTTATAGATTATTTTGATTAGAGTTGTATCACTGCAAATCATATAAGTTTTAAATACTTCGGACGATCCAACGGTTCCCGTTACCTAGTGATATTGTTGATTCTTTGTGAAAATGATTTTTTCAAAAATTATCTTTTTTTATAATTTGAAACAAGTTTTTTAATTATAATTAGACAATAAATATAAATTTATTTATTTACTGCGTAGCTGACATGTAAATTCTTATTGAATTAGTCTGCGCTGTTCACACAAAAAAATTTTTTTTTTATCAAAAGTATTATTCAAAAACAATAATATAATAATTATTGAATAATTTTTATAATTATACAAATAAGCTAATATAAAGTTTATAATTTTTATCAAATTATAAAATAAATACTTAGATTATTATCAGTGAGAGCTCTAATAATAGATTTCATAGCATAGATCACTTCAGTTGTTATTATTTTCGTTGTTTTGCACAGAAATAAGTTTTTTAAGGTTAAAAGCCGTTTGGGTAATTTTTTTACAATGCAAAAAAAATTGATTTTATGTTCAATAAAACATATTTTAATTAGATACCAAGAAACCGTTATGCCATATGGGGATAATATCACCTCAATCCTAATGATCACAATATGGAACCTTGTGTGTGTCTCCTGTGAGGATACCACATCAGACAAGCTTTCAGGAAAATGATACAAACTTATCTTATCAAAATGTTAAGACTCTTGTCCAACATAATTATTGCAATGGAAACAAATTCGAAAAGTCACTGCCCAACGACAATAAACTTAACGTATACACAAAAAAAAAGAAGAATACGAAGAGCATGAAAAACTCACGAAGAAAAAGAAAAAAACAAAACAAAAGAAAGAAAACTCACAGGAAAGGAGGATTACAAACCAACTATGTATGTTCAGAGCGTCGCTACAGCTTAACGAAGACAATCATATACAACAACAACTCGTTAGCAGCAACGTCAAGGGTGAATACGATGCCAATACTGAATTAGTGTGCTTTAAATGTTTTTCTAACCAAGGAAAAAGAGAGTTTCTTTCATCTTCGGGGCAACTACTCTGAATTGGTTCCTTGGAGGGCCTTGCATGGACAAATAGGAACCCTGAGAAGTCATGTCAATATGTACTCCCGAACGATCAATGTAATGGGAAAAATAATAAAACCTCTGTATTTCAGGTGTCAAAAGCTGATGCATGTGATGAATCACGAGAGAATTGCTATGATCTGCTCATTTTAGTCGAAAAGATATCAAAAGAATCTGACCGTTTACGCATTCAGTGGTATTATGATTATCAATAAAAATTCTATTGAAAAATTTATCAGTGATAATATCGCTTTAACCACATAATTGTCATTGGGGAGTGTTATCTACGGAATTCTTTTTCTGAATTGTTTTGGTCACTTATTTCAGTGGGATCCTATGAGTGATATATTATTGTTTCTTGGGGATTATTCACAAAGGGTGATGAAGAAATCCAAGGCTAGCCCGTGTTGCTTTGTGAATAGCAGATGATGGAGATATATTTGAGATCGAACAAGTATGTGATTATTTTTATCTTGATTGTTATAACCTAATTTCTTTCTTACAGATTCCCCTAACTGAAAATAATTCTCACTTTACTGCTAAGGTACAAGAAAAATAAGATGATGTGGGTTCCATCGTTACATGTTGATTGTGTAAACATGTTCTTCCGGGGTTGATTTTCAATTTATGTTTGCTATGAATATTCATTTTTATATGATACATTATTAAAATACGAATCTATACAGTATAATCGCACAAATGTTAATAAATAAATTTTTTTGTTTGCTCAAATCGGGTTTGTGTTTTTTACTGCGTTTTTACAATGGCAATAAATTATATATGTACTATTTAAGGGATAGAAAATTTAATGGGAGACACCATAATGAAGTAGCCGATCTTGAAATTTAAAATCATAGGCGTTTTTATTAAAGCTAAGTTTATGATATATAATTTCAAACAATATATATTTATTATTATTTTAATTTTTATTGAATATTAACAAGAGTTCAGCCATATATCCTATTGTTAATATGGTTAATATGTTCAAATAGCTGGTGGCTAATGTATTAAAAGATTCGGATCGGATCGACCGGAATTAAGATGACGCGATATTTTTTTTAAAATTTGCCGCGTTCAATTTAAATTTCTAACTCTATTGTCTTCTTCACTTGAAGATGATTCATCTTCAAATTTACGTGTTCGTTCACGTGCGATTCAGTTCAATTTTGATTGTTCGGAATTTTGATCGCAGCATGTGATCAGAATTAAAATTGAGTTCGTTGATCATGATTTTGATCGGTCATATTGTTCGAAATTTTTTTTCCTATTGAAAATTTATTATTGGTACATTTTATTAAATCAAGTCATGTTTTTGATGATTCCGTTTACAAGATCAGAATGGTTAATACGTTTAGTCGAAGTTCTTTCGTTAGATTGCATGTTCATTTAATTTCTTTTGAAATGCGTTAAAAATTTAATAGACGTTAGCGCGCGCGCGTAAAAGAAAAGTGATCAAAAATATTGATGCCATTAGGCCAATCAAAAAAAAATAGATTGGTTATTGATTTTGCCGATCTAGAAATGAACAGGATAAAGTGTTTTTTTATCAATGTTGGCTAGTAATCACGTGATGGCGCGTTAACCACGTGATTATAATTATATAATGACACATTTGAACCTAACGTTCAAAATAAAACAAAAAAAAATCCAATGTCGCCTCCAAGTTCTATAGAATTGCAAACACTTACCAATCTATATCAAAGAGCAAAGCATGCTTTTCTTTTAAGAAAATATGATTCTTCACATTTACTATGTTCCTCTGCAATCTCTAAACTTCTGGACCTTTCACCAGTTCCCTCACCTTCAATAAAAATTTTACAAACTAAAATTTGGAATCTTTACATTAATCTAGTTGCAGCTATACTTGCAGAAAGGTCACCAGTAGTAACTCAAGATCTCGAGATTAAGAGACTTTTAGAACGATCACCTGAGAAAGTTGTCAACGATGTATGGCTTAAAGTTATTAACGAAGGATATGCCGAAGAAATTGGTGAAGTTCCTGGTGAAGTCGTCGTAGCATGGTGGGTAAGAAGGTTATAATCATGGTAATGTGCCATAGTATGATATAAGTGACAATTTCCTATTTTCTTTAATTTCATTTAAAGTATTTGGCCAGCCCATTTTTTTATACTTGATCATGTCTAAATATTTAAAATTTAAAATTTATTATTAGTATCCTATTTTGCTTAAATCAACGAGAAGCACTAAATGGACGTAATATAATTGAAGAATGGTTTAACGCACTTTCGGATGAATTAATATTGCATCTTGAACACATGTCTTCTAAACACGTAACTAGTGATCCAATTTTAAATTCTTATGAGAAGGTTGTGGAATTGTACCTTTTACAAGTATTACCAAAGTTAAAGGATTGGGATTTAGCTTCAAAATTCCTTGCTGATAATGAAATTATTAATAAGGACCGCAAGAAAGTAAGCGATTATTTTTTAAAGACTTTTATTATTACATATATATATATATATATTTATATATTTTTAAAAAAAACTAATTTAATAAATAATGATTTATTATAAGGCTTATGAACAAACACTTTTAAAATTAAAAGAAAGGACAAACAAACCCACACCACTTAAGTATACTAAACCAAAGAAAGACAAATCAAAAAGAGAAGAAGGCAATGGACATCATATTAGTAGCATTTTAAACGTTCGATCAAATTACATTTTCACAAATGGGATGGAAATATTAACAAATAATCAAAAATATGGATCATCTTCGTCTCCATCATCAAATATGATGACTTGTAATAATGGACAATTCACTCGCTCTTTACATTCGGGAACAAGAACAACGGCTACAGTGACAAGTAGTAGGAACATTGTAGACAATCGACCGTCTACCGTCAATCGTATAGTATCAAATCGTATAATGGAATACTTGATGTTGTATTTGCAAAGGATGATGTCCAAAATGTCTGCTCCTGGGTTTTTGTTCTTCATCATGATATTATTTGTGTTCTCTACCAGATCTAATATCAAAAAAAAGCTACACGATGCATTTTATAAATGGTTAGCTAAATTATGGCAAACTCTGAAGGCGGCCACTTATATTTAAATAAATTAATTACATTACATGATGTTAATTATTTTTCTTCAAGTAAAAATATCCAACATATAAGATCTTTGTTAAAAATTTGTAATTTTATTATTATTTGTAAATTAGATATTTGGAAGTATCAGAAGGTTTTCGTTAATTACATAAAGTCTTTTCTCTGCATTATTATTAAATACTTGTATCATTATATAAATATAAAAAAAATGGTTTCTCCCGATTAATTTTTAAATGTACAATCTGACAAGAACCCGGATGGACATTGATTAAAAAACATTTAATATATTTCATATACTGAATGTTATTAAATTACAATAAAATTAATTAAAGCTATTCACATCTCTAACCATCCTCGAACCCTTCAATAATATTATTGTCAACTTTTTTAAGATTTTTTACTTTAACAATATTTTTAACATATTTTATTAATAAATCCCCATATAAATGAAGAAAGTATTCTTGTATAGTTCCTGGTGAAACTTCCCAATTAATATTTTCCTTTATACCTTTATGATTATATGGTATTTTTAATATTAGAATTTCATCTTCATTACCAAAAAATATGATTGCTGTTCGTAAGACTTGTATAGAATTTGAAAGATGTATAAACCCATCTTTCTTATCTAATGAGGTTAAAGTAATTGGTGTTTCTGAAGAAGAAAGTGGTGGAAGAACATGAGATGTTGGAAGAATTTTATAAAGATAATTGATCCTAGAATCGTCCATAATAATTAAAGTGTTTGTTTTTAATTTTGACGATCGGTTAAAAATCCTGAGAAAATATACTGTAACATCCCAGAAATGTATGATCGCCAACCCTAAAAAAAATATAAAATTGGCGATCCGATCACATCCGATCTCGATCTTGTCTTTATTGGTTTATCGGGGCTCCAATGGTCTTATAACCCCGATCTTAATAACAAAAAAAAATTATATTTTTATTATTATTAGAGAATCGAGAATAAATTTATTCTTAGATGATTCATCCAAATGTATTTTAATATATTGCTGATATTGTTTGTTTTTTATAAATGAGATCCTCCTTCTATATTGATTTAATTTACAAACATTCCTATAAATGCTAATGCTAATGCTAATCTACCTTGTGTTGAATTTGATGACGATGAAAGAAGATTGGTTACTTTATATTCTATTATAATATTATTTTGTAACTCTCAGATTTTTTCAAAAAACTTCACACATTTGAAGAAATATTGAATTTTGAAGTTGTTGTATCTTCTTCTATTACTAAAGATTCAGAAGAATATATAGATTCATTATAATTATTTGGAGAATTTATTTCATGTGACATTATTATATTCAAATATTATCTAAAAATGATTAATATTATAATTTTATATAAGGTCAATTTTAGGATCAGATCTGATTCAATCTTAACCTTTAGATTGATCTGAAATCTTTATAATTGAATTGCAATCTAGACCATTTTTCTGAAATTATTAATATTCCTACTTGTGATCAATTTTAACTGATTAATATCTTCCTATATACAGTGACTTTCATAATTTGCATCACCCTGTTTAATTTTTTTAAATCATAATTTTGCAAAATTGAAGTGATTGTCTAATTTTAAAATTTAACTAACTTTAAAGCCATAACTTTATTTTTAATAAATATAAAACTTGATCAGAATTTAATTTGTGAGCTTTTTACAAAACTTTTAAGTTATGTATTTTTTTTTGTAAAATAATATTTATGATACTAAATTAAAAATAATCAACTAATGCTTATGAGACACGTCTTAATAAATACAAATAAACCTAATTTGTAATCTTTCTTTAGGAGGGATATTCAAGTTATTCAGTAGCTTTTTGTAAAAATGTTAACCATTTCTCTATAATAAGAATCAAACAAAGGAAAGAAAAACTGGTAGTCTTGATATTATTCCAAAATCAGGCTGTCCTAGAATTTTTACAAAACATCATGATAGAAATATTACAAAACTTATAAAGTCAAGTGAATGCTCTAATGCTGTTCAAATCAAAAAAAGTTTGATTTCTAATGAAAATATTAATATATCTTCAATACAATTCAGCGTTCATTAAAAAAAAGATTTTGTAGCTAGAGTTAAAAAAAAACCATTGCTTTTAAAGAAACATAAAATTGCTTGAAAAAAGTTTGCCAAAAAGTATTATGATTAGACTATAGAAGATTAGAAAAGGTGGTGTGATCAGATAAAAGTAAATTTATGATTTTTGGTTTAGATGACAGGGAATAGTGTTGAAAGAATTCAAATTTACCTTTGCAACCATAATATATTAAACTAACTGTTAAGTTTGATGGAGATTCTGTGATGATATAGGGTTGTATGAGTGCATTTTATATGGGATTATACTGTAAAATTAATTGAAAAATGAATGGAAATTTATATCGAAATATTTTGAAAAATGAGTTTCTTAGAACTCTTAGTACATGATTTAATTGTAAATAATGTTATTTTTCAACAGGATAATAATCTAAAACATATAGCTAATAAGATAATCAAATGGTTTGATGATAATCATATTGAGTTGTTGGATTGGCTAGCATAATCACTAGACTTAAATTACATCGAACATTTGTAAAATGAAGTTAATTGTCATTTGCGACAGTTTTCTGATAATATTATTAGTGCAGAAAATTTGTGAAATAAGATTCAACTAATATGAAATTAGATTGATGTTGATGTTTATTTAAAATTAATTAACACAATGTCATAACAGGTTAAAGATATTTTTAAGGCTGGTAGAGGATATATGAAGTGGTGATTGGATTTTTAAAAAAAATTCAAATAGGGTTAGTTAGAAATTTTATTTAATTAAAATTTTTTTTTGATATATTTCATAAGTATTGCATCACAAAGATTTGGTGATTCAAAATTTCTTTTTTTGAAAAATCAATAATATGCAAATTAAATTTTAATAAATAATAAAGAAAGTTTGAGGTTTAATAATTAATAAAATTTTTTTTATTATATGATAAATAGATTTAACAATATTACAATTTAAAAATTTTAATTAAAATGGTACAATAATTATAAAAGTTACTATATATACATTATTAAAAAAATTATAATATTTAAATTCTTAATAATAGCATCAATTAATACTTTTAGATCATATTTTAAATTAAAAGGATTTATTATATTATTTATTTTCTTTATTATATAATTCATAATTATTAGTATCAAAAAAAATGACAAAAATATTTTTAATCAAAATATAAAAATTTACAATTTTATTGGTTAGATAATATAATTTAATATAATTTAATTTAATTATTTTTACATAAAAAATAAGTTATTAATCATTTAAATATTAAAATATTTTCATTTATAACTAAAGTTGTTAATATTCTTTAGAGTCTCAATTAATCTTAATAAAATTTAAAAATAATTTTTATTTATATACTGTTAATTAAATTTTTTAATAATAAATTTATCTTTTTAATTATTATTATAAATAATTTTTTTATTAATTAAAATAAAAAAATTCTTAAAAATTAGAAATATACTTAATTTCAGATCTGAACTTAAAATTTAAGTCCTAAATCTAATATTTTAAGGGCAGTGTTCAATATCATCATCTAAATTTGAGTCAAAATAGGCTAGAGGCTTGAATTTGATAATTAATTCATATAGCTAAAATTTGATTTGTGAGGGTATCAGGAATCTTACTGAATATTTTTTTTGGATTTTTGTTTCAGAAATCCCATTTTTGTCATAGTAAAGCTCTTTTTAATAAATTTAGCTATGGGATTTTTTTGTTTTAATATAAATTAACTGCGGGATTTTGATATTAAAAGAATAATGTGCACTTTTTAATAAATTTAACTGTAGAGGCTTTTTCATTTTAATATAAATTAACTACAAGAAGGCTTGTATTTTAATATAATTAACTACAAAGTTTTAATATATCTATAAAAGAGAATTTAATGTATTAATATTTTGTGCTTTTATAATAAAAAAATAAGTTTTGTTCTCAAAAAAATGCATCTACTTTTATTTTGAAAAATGAGTCATTAAACATACTTTATTGGCTCTAAATTTAATAAAAAATCAATTTACAATTCATCAATTAATAAGTATCATGAATTCACTAATGCTTATATATATAGTATTATGATAAAAACAGGAAATAATATTTCAAATCATGCTATTGTTTGCTGTGAAGTAATATCAGAATAGACAAATATTAAAAGTAAAAATGCTACAGAAATTAACAATATAATTAAAGAATACATTACTACTCCAATTTATCTATATAACATACCAACAATAAGAGAAAATGATCCTAAACTTATAATAAAAACAGTTTTTTCACTTTTTATTATTAATTTAGTTAAATCCATACTAAAAATTTCTAAGAATGCAATAGCTCAAAAGAAGATAGTGGAAGAGATTAAAATAACTAAAGAAAACTTGTTGAATTAAGACAAATTTACAACATCATAACTGACACTCAGATTTAGTATAATATATATATAAAAATAGAAAAAGCTGAATTAGAAATTAGTTTTAATAAGAAAAAAATTAATAAACTAAAAGAAATGCAAAATATGCTCAAAGTTGTAAAGAAAAAATATTTAAAATACTTACTAAGAACCAAGAGGTAGTTTAGTATGTTAAGTCTGGTCGTTTACTATTACTTTTCAAACATCTAGATTTACATGATCAAATCTATAACTCAGTTAAGTTTGGATCAGCTAATTCAAAAAGATGAAATGATATAGTTAAAATGTGTATCATTGAAAATTTGTATAAGAATTTAGATAAGAAATATAATATTTATATGATACAAACAACATTAAAGAATTATCTCTTATCTCATGAATCTAATTCGATTACTATAAAAGCTCATCATTATTTGATATAATTACTATATCTAGAGTTTTATATACAAATACTCAAGAGCATTCTGATGGGTATTATTATCTTGCATCTGTTAAATATGCAAGACAATTTGCTTTTATATTTACTGATATATCTATTATTATTTCTCAAAATAACAAAATAAAAGTGGATCTTAGAGTATCTGTAGTAGGTCAAATATTTCAAACCTTATAGTCAATTAATAAACCTGTATTCATAGCTAATCACAATTTTCCTATTAGGTATAAACAGAAACTAATTCCTTCAGTATATCTAATTATTAAACTAAATGAATTAAAAGATGAACTTCAAACAGAATTTTTACACGTTCCCAATAACCTATTGGTACATTCTCATTAACATATATGCAATATCTAGAAAGTCTTACCTTAAATTCCTAATATGATAATGTATTGAAAACTAATAAACAAATTCGACCTATTTGGATATTATTAGTAGATGGAAGGCCAGACAAAAATTCCAGATATTTGAAAAACATAATGGTATACTGTCAACTTTTTAAAAAGTTTGATTTGAATTATCTGAGTATACGAACACATGCATCAGGGTAATCTAAATACAACCCTATCGAAAGAGATATGGTAATACTATCTGATAAACTTACTGGGATCATATTACTAATTGATCACTTTAGCAAATATTTGAGTTCGCAAGGAAATGTCATAAATCCTGAGTTGATTACTCAAAATTATTGATATGCTAAAGAAGTACCTCATAATATCCAGAGTTGCAATTCAATTTTTAGAAATCACGTTGATGCTCAGTATATTGACACATTTATAAATCCATTTGAAAATTTAGAATTTAAGGGTATAGAAAAAGAAAAGGCTGAAGA